AGATCACATCTCTCCTGTACTAGCTTCTCTGCATCCTGCCCACCTGAAAAAACTGAACTCACTGCACCATACAAACTAAAGTGGGAGCTATTACGAAAGGTCAAGTTATCCTACTGCCTTACATGAGCAATAGAGTTCCACCAAACCAAACTCTTTTGTACTGAAGCTGCTGACTGACATATTAGTGCACAATGTTCAGTGTCTTCACATTCACAGTAAGTATGCATTTTTGCATCTTTTAGCCTTTATGACTGCATCAATATCAGGCATCAAATCCTGAGTAGCAGCCAATTTCAGAATGTCTTCTAAGTGCTTATGTGTAAGCCTTGAGCGCAACTTTGATTTGTTGATGCTCATTACAGAGAAAACCTGTTCACAAAGGTAGGTAGTCCCAAACATGCAGAAAACCTTTGTAGCCAGTGCTGTCAGTTTGGGGTAACCCGGCAAGAGATACTGATAAAATGTGTCCAAGCTCGTCGAGGCAAATTTGACCTTCAAATCTGAATCACACTGTAAGTCAGTTATTTTAAGTTGGATGTCTACGGGCAGATCAGAAGCATTGACTGTGAATGGCGAGCGAAAAACTGCAAATTCTGTTCACCAAATCCCTGAAACCATTGCTCAAACTCCCACAGCAATCCTGTAGTCTTGTCTTTGTACCAATTCATGTAAGCATTAACTCCATTCGCACGCACATCTGTTAGACGAGGAAAGTGAGCAGGGTCACCACTTAACAGCTGTGTTTCTGAAAACAGCCCCATACCATTATCCCTCCTCCACCAAACTTCACTGTTGGCACAATGCAGTCAGGCAGATAACGTTCTCCCGGGATCCACCAAACCCAGACTCGACCATCTGACTACCAACTAGAGAAGCGTGATTCATCACTCCACAGAACACGTTTCCACTGCTCCACAGTCCAGTGACGATGCGTGTTACACCACTCCATTTGACGCTTTGCATTGGACTTAGTGATGTAAGGCTTGCATGCAGCTGCTCGGCCAGGGAAACCCATTCCATGAAGCTCCTGCCGCACAGTTTTTGTGCTCACATTAATGCCAGTGGAAGTTTGGAACTCTCTGTGATTTTACGTTGTCTTCCGCTTCCTGGCTGAGTTGCTGTTGTTCCTAAACACTTCCACTTTCTAATAATATCACTTACAGTTGACCGTGGAATATCCAGCAGAAATAAAATATCATGAACCGTCTTATTGCAAAGGGGGCATGCTATTACAGTACCACACTTCAATGATGGTGGTCTTACACCTGATCTACGTATGTTTGCAATGGGGTCTGGGACTTTGGACCATCACTCTAATCTACTCTACAATGTCTTATTTACTTGTAGATATTAGTGAAATAAATTGTTTGAGATTACCTGAAAGTCTAAGGTTTTATTTTCAAAGTGGAGTCATACATGATAAACTACACAACCAAATAAAAGTTTGTACTAAAAATAGAACTTTTGGTTTTATTTCAAATTTTGTTTGAGATACCGTGAGCAAAAAACACAAATTCACAGATTCTGTGAGTGTTAAAGATCCCCTCCAGACATGTATTACTACATATACGTATAAATCAACATTAAAATCCTTAAAAAGGCACCTACTCCTTTTACCTCATTAAAGATTTAAAAAATCTATGAATATACAAATGTTGTTCATTTCTAAAGTTTTTCTACTGGACACAAGATGTGAGGATACAGATGATGACTCTACTGGACACAAGATGTGAGGATACAGATGATGACTGTAAAGTCCATTCTACATACATACGTACATCACACTGTAGAAGTTGCATACTGCAATTTTCCTTTCTGTCAAAATCTGTCCAGTAAGACATTTGTGTCATTGAGTATTTTATTTAATCTACCTGCATATGTGCCTGTAAATTCAGTTTGTATCCAGTAGTCACAATGTGCAGAAACAGTGATGGTTTTTGTCACCATCTAGTGGTTGATGAGCTTTACTGCAAACAGACTCCTTTACTTTCAACCTGACAAATGTTCTGAAGAAAGTACTCTGAACTAGAGTTTGAATATTTAGTTTTAGATTTATTTATTTTTATTAAAGTTTATATGAAGTAAAATCAAATGCAGATGTGTGGGCAATTTAGAGTTTCCAATTAAGCTGCATGTCTTTGGAATGTGGGAGGAAACCGGAGACACCCGGAGAAAACCCACGTCAACACGGGGAGAACATACAAACTCCACACAGAAAGGGCAGAGGCCGTAAGGCAAACCTTCAACCTTCTTACTGTGAGGCCACATTGAGCCACCGTGCCGCCCTCTCTCTTAAAAAGGATGTGAAAGGAAGTTTTTAAGGTCGTACAGACTTGTTTGACAAAGTAGAGCTGAAGCTCACAAGCTTTCGCTCTACTTTGAATGTGGGAGAAAAAACGGAGACACCCGGGGGAAAACCCACGTCAACACAGGGAGAACATGCTAACTCCACACAGAAAGGGCCAAGGCCGCAAAGCGAACCTTCAATCTTCTTCCTGTGAGGCCACATTGAGCCACCGTGCTGCCTTCACTCTTAAACTGTGAAAGTTGTTTTTTTAGGTCCTTTGACAAAGTATAGCTGAAGTGAGCTTCAGCTCTGATTTGTCAAATGACTTCAATCTTGCCTGTACATCCTCAAACCCCATCTGACACATCCTTTTTAAGAGTTTGTATTCATCTTGAAAAAACGGCCAGTGATTTTTTTCAAGATAAATACAGAATAATAATTAAAAAAAGGGGAAGAAGACTGGCACTGGATACTTACCTGTTCTACTTATCCTTTGATCCACAGCTGATGTAGGAGGTGAACGGCTTCCTCAGAATCCTGGCTGCAGAAGAGAGCATCCTCAGCATAGCAGGGCGCTTCTGCTTCCTCAGTAGCGGTGAAGTTGATCCTTCCTCCGAGTTGCTGACTTCACTGTTAGACAATGAAGTGATGACTGCACAGGCTGGAGTGACTTTGTTTGACCTTCTTCTGAAAAACCTCTTCACTTTGGTGAAAAAGCTGATGTGTTTTTCAGAAGAATTGCCCAGCTGCACTTTTAATGTCCCGACAACAACTTCGTCAAAAGCTGCGTCACCGGACAACATGGCTGCGTGGAGCAACTTTGGAGATCCAAAGTTGCGACAAAGTTCTTTGTAGACAGGGATGTGGATGTTTCCAACAGTCTGTGGGAGAATTGATTTTATTTCTCCCACAGTCCTTGCTCTCAGACGCTCCAACGTCCCATTAAAGTCCACGTCAAATACTGATGTCTTGGTGGAATGAGCAATGTGATCAAGAAGCTTCCCGAGAAGCACAGCGAGAAAGGTCCTATCTCGCTGTAGCAACTCGTCTGCAGAACTGGCAGAACACTTCAGACTCTGATCACCTGAAAGGACTGATCTACGCTGCTCTGATGCAGAGCAGATTTGATCAGCACCCTCCGCGCAAAACTCCTCAACATCCGTGACCTTTTCTGGAAAGCAGGCCTGTGCAGTAAACTGCTCAACGTTGGACACGTCATCTGGAGAGCAACCCTCTGTGTCAAACTCCTCAATGTCGGACATATCATCTGGATAGCAAACCTCTGTGCTCAACCCCTCCATGTCCGACTCATCATCTGAACAGCAACTCTCTCTGGTAAACTTTGCAACATCTGCCACCTGGTCTGGACAAGAACCCTTAGAGGAATCACTCTTCAGAGATTCTTCGTCCTCAGGTGACTCAAGATCTGTCAAGATCAAGTGATTCAATATACGGCAGATGAAGTAAACCATATATTTAGTCTGAGATGAACCGGTTGATTCAGACTCAGCAGACTCTGTTGACTTTGTGGGTGAAGGTGACTGTACGATTGCAGCCAACATGTTGTTCACCCTGTGGGTCACTTCTGCTGAGAGAAACTCCAGTAGCAGTTCAGACTCGTGGGATCTCTCCTGTTCGTATCCGAGCACCTCACCGAAACAGAAGTGAAGCAAATCCCCAATGCTGGCTTGGATATCTTCCTCTGTCACATAGCGATAATTACACGTCCTCTGTGAAGTTTCACTAAAAAAGAGAAGACAGTCACACATTAGTCAACTGATCTGCTGCTCTGGGCAGTGGGCAGTGATTTATAGCAGAATCTGCTGGAAAATATTTGATCAATGTGTTGGAAAGTTTGGACTTACCTTGTGATAGAGCTGCTGCTGGCGTTCCTGGCAGCCTCCTGAGCAGTCCAGCTTTCAATCTGAGGTGCCACAGTTTCTGAGACCGAGAGGCTGATTGACTCTATGATCTCGTGGCACATGTCAGATAGAAGAAGGACTGTTTTGATGTGGATTTTGCCATCAGCTATTAACTTCCACTGCCTGGAAGAAAAGATTAAGAATGGGTAAGCAAAACAAACATTTAACCAATGTGTATGTAAAGTGTATACAATTAGAATTTCTGCAACTGATTTGATTGATGAATTTTAACTATACTTACTCTTCTGTGATATCATGTACGAATAAATGGAGGATGGATTCAATGACGTCTGATGTGAACAAAGGAACATCCAAATCGCTGCACCTGAGTTCTCCTAGTTCATCCGATGAGATCTAGAAAGAAAAACAATCAATATTCAGCAACAGAAACTAAACACTGGGGTGGGACTGTAAAATAATCTACATGTTCAAAATGTGACAGCACTATTAATAGTTATGGTACTTGGTGCTCTGCAGAATTAACAAACCACCTTTTAATTCAATCTACAAGATGTCAGAATTTGATGCATTTTAAGAGCTTATGGTCAATATGAAAGTGTTGTCAAATGTTGCCATTGAAAAGCAAACAGTTAACCGTCTGATTTTAACGTACAGCAACCAAACAATTTCTCATACACTAACTACTTTTATTTTTATTATCTCCCCAACAGCTGATCCTACATAACTGGAAGACATCTCTTTTATAAATCTAATGTGTTTCATCAAAAGTTGAACCGACAGGAGGTGAAAACTTTCTCCCTGTAGCCGTCAAGTTCAACTTCTGTGTGTGTTTGTGTGATTCAAGGCTAGATTTTCTTACTTTGTAATCCATGTTGAGATCCGGTACGTTCTCCATGGATGTAACTAGTCAGTTGTTCTCGCGGTGAAGGTCTGTGTAGATCTGTTCACTGTGATCTCTGGAGCTCAGTGAAATGGACTGTACAACAGAATTCATCCTAAAGTTCTAGAATGACACATCAAAGGAACGGAACTCATCAAAGGAATAGAACTCATCAAAGGAATAGAACTCATCAAAGGTATGGAACTCATCAAAGGTATGGAACTCCAGAACATTCTATGTTCATTCAATGTTTTTAAAAAAAAACACTGAAAGCACACGTTCTCAAAAGTTACACATTTTAAATATATACACAGTTGTTTAAAAAAAAACAAAAAACATAATAATAATAATTTACATTTTTTTCCCTCCAGTTGGATGTTTGAGCTTCTCTGCACAGAATACTGCCCCCAGTGCACACACACTGAGAATGGCAGGAAAACGTAAGAAATGAACAAAATTTGTATACTAATAGATACTTCTTTAGATCCTTACAATTAAGCCATTTGAATTGATTCTTGAAGATGCCTTTTTATGGATTTTACTGTGGAAATTGTACTTATTTTGAGGAAAAGAAAAACATCAGACACAAATTATTGTTGTGTGTCAAACCATGGCTACGTTCACACTGCAGACAACAGCAGCCCAAATCTGAACCGTGTAAACAACCCGTTTACACACTGGCAATAGAAATTGATGAATAAATGAAAATAATACATGTTTCAGAATCTTACATATGGAACCTTTAAACTGGTCATTGAAAGCAAATTATTACACCCGCCTCTCCCAAAAAGTCATCAGTTGCCACAGAAAAAAATCTGATTTTGTTCATACCTTTATTAAAAACAACAAACAGTGATAACTGATTTCACAAGCAATATAATATTTACGAAACCTCCAAAAACACACACTGACAGGGTTAAAAAAACAACAGCCTCACATTAATACTGACACTTATAAATAAATTAGCAGAAAATCTTAAACAAAATGTAAATTTTGTCTGACAGGAAGAAGTAAATGGAATATGGTGCCACAGTGACAGGCTTGGACACAGGTCGTCACTTCTCTATTTGTTCAAACTTCAAGTTAACATTCCTCTGTGACTAAACTCTGTAAACTCATCATTATAAAGCTGATCTAATCAATCTGAGCAGCACACATTAAACAGTCTCAGGTCTGATGCTGCATGTACCGGCTAACACAATGACATTAGGAAATGCATTTAGCATTGTTCTTCACCGTTAGCTCATTTTTCAGTTACCCAAAAAGTTCTTCTGTTTTTTAATGATGTGACACTTCTCACGCAGAGTTTCCCTCTCAAACATGTCCAGCTGTGAAGATGATGATGATGATGATGAGGATGCCGTAGCTCAGCGTCGCAGGAAGAAGACTTCTGCTCGAGCTGACCAGAGGAGAAGTCGAGGAGAAAATGGCGCTGCTCTCATTTCTCGGCACCAACACGTTACAGATGTTCCCCTCGCAGCAGGACGAGCACACCTGATGGACCAGATTTAGATGATACAAGTATCAGGTTGCGGATGTTAGTGCAGTTTAATCCAGAGGCTCCACGTACCTGATAGCCATTACCAGACACATCAGCACAGCCTGTAAACAGACAGTCGTCCAGGGTCACACAACGCTTGGTCACAGACACACTGTCTCCATGGCTGTCCATCATGTGGAGTGTGTAACAGTATCTGGCATCTAGAAGACACGACACACCTTTATGTCTGGATTATTTTACTATTTCCACACACTCTTCCTCATATTTTAGAAATATTGGAGAGTTTGATGCCCCAAAATTCCTTTCTGATAATCAAATAGATTCATATCAGTGCTAAAACAGCACCCACGTTTGCAGCTCTCTCAATATAATCATGTGTGCTTGCTCACTAAATTCAACATACCGAAGTCTTACTTTTATATTTTCTTTATTAATATTAACTGTAATGTGTTGTTATTTTAACTTTTACTTTTTTTACTATTTTGTTTTCACAGTACAAATAAAAATGACAAAAAATAAGTCAAAATTACCAAAGCTACTTGATGTAGAATGTTTATTTAACTTACAAAATTAAGTTAGTTTTACTTAAAATTCCTGATGTAATCCGTTTGAACAATTTTTAATGAACTCATCCGGTTTTATAGTGTATGCAGATAATTGGTTTTAATATATGTGTAAATATGTAAGTACAACAGCAACAGAGGGTGCAAATGATCACAGTCTTTGGGGAGTCAGTTGAGCTGCACACATAGAAGCAAAATGAGAAAAAGCTGATGTACCTTTTGGACAGTAAACATCCGGCGCCCAGCGATTACACTCATAGTTATCTGCAGCGTCCTGACACGTAAAGCACTTGAAGCCACCGGGATGAGGCGTAGCTGTGGAGGACAGACAGACACACGTCAGCACTCTGAGTTTATGATGTCTGATACTGACATTCACTTTTTTATCTTTTTTTTTTCTTATATCTTCACTGAATCTATTATTTATGTGTGTTGACATTTGCTGCAAAAATAAACTCACTAGAAACTGCACGTCCTAAATGTATGTGTGTATTTTTTCTGTTTCTAAATAATTTTAATGATGTACGAGTGATGAATTCTTTTTACTTACTGCTGAGACATAATTTCCCTGTTAATGATCTTTTAAGTTTATCCTGAAATCTGAAACATTGTGTAAAGTCGGTTTCAATATGAGCTCTATAGACCAGGGGCGGTGAAAAAAAGCCTGGCCACCCACCTGCCACCCCAGTTTGCTGTCAAATTTAACACATTAATTGAGATTATTTCGTAATATTGTGTTAAATAAACAAATCCTAATTTTTCCAAACAGATCATTAAATTAAAGAATTCATTGATTTCTAATGGCACCATTAAATGTTTATATTCAATGCTTTTCTAATGTGCCAAAGTAATTTAATGTTTTTAAGTTAAAATATCTTCATTTGGGGGCTTTTCCCAGCAAATATTGATATATGTGTTTGTGGTTAATCAGCTATCTTTCTGCCACCACTTAAAGTCGGACGCCACCTTGTGGCCACCCCGTGAATATTTTATTTTAATTAATTAATTAATTTTTTTCTCCAAAACTTTATTTAACTTAAAAAAATAATTACAAGTTCTCTCAAAGGGAACATAAATTGCATTTATACAACAAAACATTTATCGTCTCTCAATTACCAAAAATAAAATCTCCAAGGCTTTGTTCAAAATTATAATAATAATAAAAAAGAATAAAAAAAGATAGATAAGATTAATAAAATTAAAACAATCAAAAACCCTCTTGAGCTGACCCTGCAATAGATTAATCTCTGATCGCCTGAATTATATATATATTATTTTATTTTATTTCAAAGTCATCTTTATTGCAAAAAGGGGGGTTACAATTCAGATGTGACTTACAGAAATATATATATATGTAACAGTATACAAACATATAAAATACAAACAAAGTGAAATATATATATAAATGAATTCATTATGTGGACGCCAGCCACATCCGTGCGTAACAGTCGTGCGTAATGACAGCCGCTGTGTTGGAGAACCTCGCGGATTAAACGCAGTCGGTGAAATTGCACTTCCGTTTTATTCTCAATGTCACGTGACACGTGTAATTAGGGGTGGAGCGGAAGTATCGATATGCAAACGGTGTTTGGGGGCGTTTCTACTACCATTTACGGATAACTGTGGGAGTGGAGACGAGTTCCACCGTGATTGAAATGTTTAAAATTAAACCGTGAGTCCGCTCAGCGTTTACAAAGAGTTTTATGCTTCTGGGCCCAGAACTGCTGAAAGCACTGCTGGATTGTGGATTGAATGAGATTGTCAGCAACTGAGTGAGAATTAAAAACTGAAGAGACACCTGAACACCTCTGACCTCTGAACACGAGCTCGGCCGGGAGTTGGTGGAGATGAAGGCCAGAACAAACTGTAGTCGGTAGGTATGTTCCGCTCGTGTTTGCTGCTCTGTATTTAATTAATTATTAATTATTTGTGTCAGTATTAAAAGGGAAAAAAGTCATCCTCGAGCCATCAGGGTGTTGAGTTGTTTGAGGTGCAGGTAGACGCCGAGCTCCTGCATCAATTGTTTGTTTGTTTGTTTGTTCAAAAGCACTGTGCAGGGCACCTGTCCAACATGGTTTCTTCTTGTCCACACGTTGTTCTCAACATCCAAGTGGAGCAGAACCATTTCGAGCTTGTTTACTGCTGTTTGCCACAATTACCCAACAAATGTTTGCAGAAGATTGGAAACAAACAATTCATCTAAACAAGCTGAGAGTTGTTTGAATGTGTTTCAGAAACGGTATGAGGCTAATTAGAGCACCCATTACCGCCTATATCAAAGACAAATGTTGTCCAACTGATTGAAAAACCATGTTAATGAATGTAAAGTAACAATGTTGATGTAACTGGAGAGTCAGGAGGTGGCACACAACATGGCGCCCCAGGTTGGACCCGAACCGACACCAGTATCTGATGGCGCCCAAACTATCGCTAACTTTCAAATTAACTTTCAAAGGAAATGAATGAAATCACTTTTAGAGTTGGCCCGAGCTTTGTGCTGTTTGTTGGCTGCAGGTTACAGAGAAGTTAGTTTGAGCTGTAATGTGCCTGAGGTACGTAAACTGCATGTGGAGGATCTGGATAAAAGCCTGTCAGGTGTCTGGTTTAAGAATACTTTAGGATTTAAAAAAAGTATTATTGTATAGTTTATATAATATTTATGCTGACTCGGTTTGCTGCTACTTATTTCCTCTAGATTTGGTCCCACAATCATTTATTTATACATATAAAATGAAAATGTGAAAACTAATGACGTGATAATTCAAGCACTGATACCAGCTATAAAGCTGTATCCTTTGGCACTTTTGTTAGATATGTCATTTTATTTAGAATTTTTAAATGTAATTTAGAATTTGTTCAAGAAAATCTAATGTTTAAATGTCCTTTTTTCCAGTTAGATTACTGATTTAACCACCTGTATGCAGGGCTGTAGCTCCCATTGAGGACACAAAGGTCATGTCCATATATATATTTTATTATTTTTCTGGACAGAGGTTTTGGAAAATTAGGGAGAATTTTATATTCAACAATTAAAACACTGAGACATGGTGGGTCGGCTAATTTCAGTGCTCATATACTCAATATATCAGAATCATTTTTATTGGATTGGATACAAGGAATGTGAATCCAGTTCTCTATCTAGTTTATTACTGTTAATAAAAACAATAAAACAAATAGATACATGTATATTTTTATAATTTTCTACTTATCTTTTTGGTGTTTGGTCAAACGTTTCTGACTCTGGACCATTACTCTAATACACTCAACAATGTCCTATTTACTTAAATTCTTTGTAGTTCTTGAACATTTAAGACTGAAGTGAAATTAATTGTTTGTGATTACCTGAAAGTCTAAGGGCACGGTGTAATGTTGACAGCCTTTTTTGACATAATGGTTACAATCAACATGCATATTTCCTGCTTTGCCAAATCAATAACATACTTCCTGTGAACACACTGAGAGATTAAGTCTGGGAATTGTTGTGGTGTAGTTTTATCATTGTTGTTGCCTTTACTTAAGAGTGACAAAGTACCACAGGTTGGACTTGAACCTGTGGCTGCTGTAGCTTTGTACATGGGGTACCAGCTCTACCAATTGAGCTACAAGGGAAGCCTCACAACCTACTCTGCAATTGAATTCTGTCTGTCACATCCACTCAAAATAGAAATTGTGTTTTTAATAGGACATGGCTTGTACGCTGCCATCAAAACTGCAGTGAAGCAGTTATTGCCTTTACTTGTTAAGTCAGGGAAGGAGTGATAAAGTGCTACAGGTTGGACTTGAACCCATGGCTACTACAGCTTTGGTATATGGGGTACCAGCTCTACCAATTGAGCTACAAGGAGGCTTCACAATGTACTCTGCAGTTTAATTCTGTCTGTCACATCCACTCTAAATAGAAATTGTTTGTGTTTTTACCAGGACATTGCTTGAACGCTGCTGCCATCTTGACTGCAGTGAATCCTGAGCTCTTCACATCCTCCTTCAAAACATGGGAAGAAGACTACTTAAAGGTAACTAGACTGTCAATGCAAGTGGTGGTAGAAATAAAGTTTTAATTAAGACTGGGAACTGTTCTAGTATATTTTTAATGTAATTATCAAATCAAGATGACATTCATTACACACGGACTATGAATATAGGTCTGTGTTCACCACTTTACCTTTGCCTGAAGAGAACGGACAATCTGTAGTTGAATTCTCTCTGTCACGTCCACTTAAAATAGAAATTGTTTGTGTTTTTACCGGGACATTACTTGAACGCTGCTGCCATCAAAACTGCAGTGAAGCAGTTACTGCCTTTACTTGTTAAGACAGGGAATGATAGAGAGTGACAGACAATAAAGTGCTACAGGTACCAGCTCTACCAATTGAGCTACAAGGAGGCTTCACAATCTACTCTGCAGTCGAATTCTGTCTGTCTGTCACATCCACTCAAAATAGAAATTGTTTGTTTTTACCAGGACATTGCTTGAATGCTGCTGCCATCTTGACTGCAGTGAATCCTGAGCTCTTCACATCCTTCTTTAAAACATGGCAAGAAGACTGCTTAAAGGTAACAAACTCCACTTCTCCTGTGAAGACTCTCAATTTAAGTGGTGGTAGAGATACAGTTTTAATGCTTCAAAGTACCTCAATATGCAGGAGACAAAATATCAATAGTACAAGCAGAGACCACAGCGCCTATACTCATATCGGTGCTGATAACGTTGATTTTTAAGGCTTATGTGTAAGCATGAGCAGTAAAATTCCAAATGTGTATAAAAAGTGGTTGCAGCCTGGAAGTACAACTTTAATTTAAGACCACAGCCCATATCTCCTTCAAAAAGTTTAATAAACCAGCTATCAGAAGTGGAGCATCCACATGTCGATCTGTTCTTGAAACCTAGTACAGATACATGGACAAATTACTACCTTTGGACAAATAAAGGAACAATCATGTGCCTCGCTTGAAGCTGCTTATATAGCATTTTATAAGCAAGTTCAGTCTGCTGTTTCAGGAAGTGAGTGACTGTGTTCATGAGATGGTTCTCATATGTAAGCGTTGGCTCTGCAGTCTTCAGGTGGATCCCATGCCCTCTTTGGAGAGGAAAGGGCCGAGTGAAGAACCTACAAGTCATTTAGGCCACCTCTCTTATGCTGCCATGAACACCCCCTGAATTGGAGACGCCTCCACCATTGTCAAACAGAGCCCACGGCATCCTCTCTAGGAAAAAGGAATGCATGTAAATGGCCATCAAACACTATCGTGCAGCTGTATGACCCTGAATTCGAGGGGGGCTTGTCCTTTTGTAATTTTCAGAGACCACACCAGCTGGGAGGCCCAAAACTTTTGCTCTGGTGCAACCACTGTGACCAACAAGAGCCAGAAACTGAGGAGGATTACAGATCCCAACCCCAGTAGTTTCAGCTGGAGGATGAAAGATAAGTTTGCAACGTGTAACAATCTCTCATAGCTTTTAATAAACAACCAAAACCAGCTTAATTGCCCTGTTAAATAATCTTACAACCCACTTCATTCAAACTTGACAGTCGACGGTTGATGAGGCGATTTGGACTCAAATGAGATGTTCCAACTATGCAACTATAACGCATTTGAAAACATTCAATGTGTTCCTATTGTGGAGGAGGTCGTGTCAGAAACATTTAATCTGCTGGATCCATCTCTTAGGGATGCCAAGTATCCCACAATGATGAATGTGTGGAGTAAATTCCTAGTCTTGATTTAGTTTCCACCCAACCTTTTCTAGTCTTCTGCCTTTCTGCTTTTAAGTATCAGCTGAGTTACCAACTGCTACTATTTCCTCAACAAGAGGCTGAGGTGGGTTTTCTGGAAGCAGAGGACATCATCAGGCACTGTTATAGGACCATTCAACTTGCACAGCTGTAGACACAATCCTATCCTCTCCCCTGGAAATTAGCTTTGGCTGCTATCTGGGATCTTACATTGAAGGTTGAGTCACAGAAGCTGTTTCCATGTTTACTGCTACTGTTTCCTGAACAAGCTTTGGCTATCATCTGAGATCTTAATTTGAAGGCTGAGTCACAGAAGCTGTCTCCATGTTTGCGGCTACTATTTCCTGAACAAGAGGCGGGTTTTCTGGCAGCTGATGAGTTCTGATCTTGTGATCTTGTGGATTGGGAGAGATGCTGCCCTGAGGAGCATTGCTGTATTCCTGAGCATCACATTTCCAACCCTATTGTCATCCAGGAGCTGCAGCACCTGCACTCAAGCTGTGTAGTACAACAGCTTAGAACTGCTTGTTGAGGAGGGGACACTCTCTCAAACGCTTCCCATGGTTCTGATCCCACAGCTTGTGCTCGAGTGTATGCAGGCATTTCCTTTAGAGTGCGCCTTTTGTTCTTGCAGATATTCCTGCTTGCGGGCACAAGGTTTCACTACAAACAGTTACTAAAGCCACTCCTGCAGCCTGACCGTATAGTGCGACTGTTAAGAGCAGCCTGTTGAGAAAGATGTCATCACAAGCAATATGCATTGTGCAAATCCCACGGCGCGCCCTGGACGGGACAGTGGTACTCCCTTGGGAACGCATTGGTAATCTGACAGGTATTGCGACTAGCGGGTACTCGTATCATACACTCAACCACTAGACCAACTCTCTCAGCCTCATCATATTCATCTATGTGTGTCCTGTATAACCTCTGTAATCTCTCTACAAATAGCCTACTCTTGAAATATCCAACATGAGAAACAATGTGATAGAATTTAGTAGAAAGTCAAACTCTGAGTTTATCATAATGGCACTTCAGTGTTTGGAGTCAGACTAAGTTGCTTTAGTTTTTATTAACAAGAATGTCCTTTTGTTGAATGAAGGCCTGATCTATTAATATGGTCTGAAAGCACAAATACCATCACCAACTTGAGCTGATGGGAGGAGAAAATGGAGGAAGCCTTAAGAGAGTCTCTCAAACAGGTACTGGTGGATAAGTGCACTGACAAGGTATAGAAGACCACAGGGGGAAGGGGCATGGTAGTGGTTGAAGAGGCAGGAGCAGTGGATTAGCTCTATGGTTTGTGATTGTATTGCTGACAACTGAAAGGATGATAAATGGAATTGGGAATTAATTTTTGAATTGAATTAGACTCTCCCTGCTTTATGTTAATACTAATATAGTTACAGGCTCAAATGGCACTCTGGTATTTACTGAGTTGCTGTGTGCTGCCATGAGAGGATCTATCCTGGCTGAGGCACGAGTCTTCTAGATCAATATACGGAAAGGGACCACGCTCAACTATGAATGCACCCCACATGACCTCTTCCCACGCGTCAGTTTTGTGCATTATTTACCTGTTGATAAGCGTTGTTTGCTTGCCAGGTAGACCATACGCAGCTTTGACAGGGGGAAAGATGGTCCTCTGTGACGGCTGTACTTCAGAATGAGTGTAAAGAATCCACTAGGCCTAAAGTTGGTCATAGCTGTACGAGTGTTCTCGAGACAGACTATAGTCCAGATCAAGGAACATACACAACAAAGTAAATACCAGTGTGTTGTGTTTCAAAAACAAAACCTTGAGTTGTCAGCAATCACTTCACTTCAAAGAGTCTTTATTTTGGACGCTATGGGGCTAAACTACTGCTTCTCCATCTTAAGCCACTATGATATGATGCAAAATGTCCTCCACAGTCACTGGCTTCAAGAACCTCCTACCTCGACCTCCATAGTTACCAACTTAACCTTCAATTTCTTGCCAGTGCATTCCTCCACCAGTTCCTGTTGTTTTTTTTTTTTTTTTGAGCTTCCACTTTAAGTTTTCCTCCAGTGTCTCCTCCCACGGGCCCGTCAGCTGAAGTATGACGATGTTCTTTGTGCTTGTAGACCAAATTAACAGGTTTGCCTTGAGTAATGCAATAGCAATCTCCAGTGGAGATGCTTTAAAATAAATGCTTTAAATATAAAGACTGTCTTTAAATGCTGGAGAACTATAAATTCAAAGTTTGACTTTTTAACTACTCTGACACTGCCTCCCATTCATGGTATTTCTAAACCAGGGTTTCTGTAGAGAGCACAGAGGTTATATAGAATACACGCAGGTTAATGGGATAAGACTGATGAGTTGGTCTACCAGTTGTGTGTACAGATACCTTTACCCACTATTAGGAATACCTGTGAGCATGCCAACACATTCTTAAAGAAGGGCCTATGTCCTCTCCAGTGGGATCTGCACCATGGATGGCGCTTGCAAAGGTACTCTGTCCTTGACAAGCAGTCCTTAATGGTGGCACTACATGGTCTGGGCACAGGAGTTGTTCTGGTGACTGTTTGCAGTGACACCTGGTACCCACTAGCAGGGATACCAGCATGAACATGGACACAGTCTTCAGGGAATGTCAGTGTACACTCCAGTGCACACCGCAGGATCAGCACCATGGATAGCGATTGTGAGAGCACCCCCTTTTCAGTAAGCAGCTCCCAACTGTCACTGCATGGTCTGGGTGCAAGCACCGCAACTCCCAGATGAGATCGGTCAGGAGTGTGATGCTCAAGAATACAGAAATGCTCCTCAGGGCTCCATCCCTACAAATCCACAAGATACCTGACTCTATTTCACACCCAGTAAGAGTCCAAGAGCCAGTGGACGGAGTAAACAGGACCCTGGACCCGGCGCGAAGGTGAACCGGGAGCAGCATTTTCAGATCTATATGACTGAAAGGAGAACAACAGAAAAGGAGGAAAATATAAAACTAATAACAAAGTAACAATTTTATTTACCACGAGAGGAGGTCTTTGAAGTTCAACATTGACCATGGGACAGTTGCGTTACATGGTGCCACACTGAAAAGGATGATCTCCTCTGTAACCAAGCCCTTTCTCAAACCCATTCGTGAGTGTTTGCAATATGTAAAAAGAACTGACACAGTCCAGTAAACCTGTAAAGTCGAGTAGCACCAGCATCAAAGGGAGGAGTCTGAAGGTTTGGTTGCAGGAAGTCTGACAGTAATGGACAGACTGAAGACAACTCTGATGTGATGACAGAGGAAAAAAGAACAAATAACTACATGTTGATTTGGACTCAAAGTACCTTAACCAGGTAATTATCACACACCTTACTTGACTTACACCACAGAGAATATGCTTTGTACTTGCTATACATCGATTCTAGATGAAAGAACTGCTATTGACAGATGAAGCAGTTAGACAGTCATCACTGCTCTGTACAGTGGGTCCCATGGGTATGGGGCAGATTCCAGCACTTGCCTTTTTGGTATCAATGCAACAAATTAGATGTTGTAACAGTGCAACTTCATTCATGATTTCATAAACAAAACCTTCAATTGTCTTCAATTCTCCGTCTTAAGCCACAGACATTGCAATCCCCTCTGCCACTACTACGATGCAGAATGTCCTCTACAGTGACCGGCTTGGAGAACCTGCTATAAGCCATGGTTACCGACTTAACCTTCAATTCCTTGCTTCAATTCCACCAGCTCTTGTTTTTACTTTTAGCTTCCACTTGAAGATTTTCTCCAGTGTCTCCTCCCACAGGTCCGTCAGCTTTAAGTATGACAATGTTGTTTTGTGCTTGTTAACCA